CTGCGGGGGCCGCCGCCGCCGCCGCCGGCGCACTGCACGCCGCGGCTTGCAGCCCGAGTCGGAGAACGCCAACTACTCAGAGATCTGAGGCTCCGTATGAGTAGAGCGACAACTACTCGAGCGGCCCGTATTCGGCGTTTTCGGAGAGCGCCAAGTACGCAGAGCGCCAACTACTGGAGCGGCCCGTTCTTGCCCGTCTTCGGCCTCCAGGGTTCCTGAAGGGGCTCCGGGGCCATCCAAGAGCAGCTCGGGACGGAGGACCGGCCCCAGAGGGAAGTGGCTCAAGCCTCCGAGGGCCCACGCATCGAAGACAGTGGAGCGGCCGGGTGTCTGGGTGCACACCTTCACCGCTCCTGGACAGGCCGATCCTGAGCGGAGGGTCGCTGCACACGCCCTCCTGGCCAGGCCAGGAGCCAGTGTGCGCCGATCCTGGGCACTGTGCGCCGGGGCGCGCACGCCGCCGTCGCGGCGTGCAGCCCGAGGCCAGGATCCAGCGGACCGAACGTCGGGTCCGCGTGCACCGGGTCGGGTCGCATGGGCACGGAGGCGGAGTCGGATCGGGTCGGCCGCGCTGTCGTGCACATCGACACTGTGCAAGCTTTTGCCGCACCAGACCGTGGAGTGTCGAGATCGGATCGGATGGGGCCGGCCGAGATCGGCATCGAATCGGATCGATCGGATCGAAGTGGACCCTGGAGTCGGATAGCGCCAACTACACACCTGAACCGTCGTCGAGAACTGTGATACCCTGGAAGAGAAGCACCAGAACAGTCAAGACCCCTCGGCAGCGCTTGACTCATGAAGCAGGCCTGGTAACTTGTGGATGGAGTGTGCTATCGGACTGCGCTGTGTTCCTGCTGGAGCCCTCGAGTGTTCAACCCAGGCTGCTGACTTTCAGCATGGGGAGAAAGGTCCAGAGGTGAACGGGTCCTGGACCCCGAGAGCTTCCCGCAGGACGGGTTCTTCATCCTGAGTCGTTCTCGGACAGTCCCGGGGCCTGTGGAGGGCCCCGGGAGCCCAAAAACGGCGACAAACCTCAGGACCCGTTTGCCTCCGGACCCACTTCCCCCACCGCGAGACATGTCAGGCTCGACGGCCAAGGCCGGACCGAACGATCCTGGACAGACCGACCCTGAGCCCAGCATCGCTGCAGAACCTTAGAAAGTCCAGGGTTCGCTAGGAACAAGTTTCCTCACAGAACGGCCGAAACCCTCCCGAAGCCATCCGGAAATCCTCCGGAAAGGGTTCCGGGAGGCTCTTCGGAGGGTTTCGCGAGGGTTTGGGAAGGGTCCTCGGCGTTTGGGGGGGACACCAGTCCCTGACGAAGCCTCGGCTTTCTAAGCATAACACCCCATAGCCAGGCAAGGAGGCCGTGTGCGCCAGCCCTGGGCCCTGGGTGGGCCTGGCCAGGATCGGTACAGGGATATAGCTGGCGTCCTCCTCCCCAGGGCTCCTCGGCATCTCCACGTCCCGAGGAAGAGGCGGAGGAAGAGACGACGCCCTCCTCGTCCTCGCCCTCGCCCTCGCCCTTGTCCTCCTCGTCCTCGTCCTCGTCCTCCGAGTCTCCGTCTGGCGTCCTCGTCGTCCTCCACGGGGGTGGGTAACAGCTCAGGGGTGGGAACACTGATCTGGAATCGGCGATGCATCGACGACTTGCGTTTGTCGCAAGGCGTTCGCACGGACGCTTCTTCCGTATAAACAACTTCTCCCTGTCGCACCCCGAGGCTTGTTTTTAGGGCGGGCCAGGCGTTTCGCCTGAGACATCCTCACCGCTTATGACCCTGAAGCTTTAAAAGTGGCAACAATTTGACGCTTTCAAAAGTGGCAACACTTTCACTGATTGGGGGCAGGTCGTTTCATCATGTGGCTCTCTCCTTAGCGCCGCGCACATTCGCTTTCAAACTTTGCAAGAGCTTCACGGACTGAGGGCGGGTCGTTTCCAAAATGTGGCTCTCGCCTTGGCGCCGCGCACATTCGTTCCCAAAATTCGCAAGAGTTTCACGGATTGGGGGCGGGTGGTTTTCAAAATGTGGATATCGCCTTGGAGCCGCGAACATTGGTTTCAAAAGTTGCAACAGCTTCACGGATTGAGGGCAGGTTGTTCCAAATGTGGTTGTCCTCAGCGCCGCGCACATCAGTTTTCAAAAGTGGCAAGAGATTCACGGATTGAGAGCGATTCCTTTTCAAAGTGTGGCTCTCGCCTTAGCGCTTCGCACATCCGTTGAAACAATTGCAAGAGCTTCACGGGTTCCCGTGATCAACGTACCCGAAATGGCGTCCTGGAAAAAATCAGGATTGTGAGGATGTAACAGGAGAGCAGATTTCACGATATAGGTTTTGCATTTAGTGTATCACTCCAGAGCGTCTCTCGTAACTTGACGCTTTGGCTCAAGGGAAAAGCATCTGCGTACCTTGCTGCTGCCACAGTTGGTAGCGGAGCCTGGTCCAGCTGGAGAGCCATGGGCGGTGACGACCGACTGTGAAGGTCGAGGTCGGTCACCGTTCGCGCGCCTCCGGCAGGCCGGGCTCGCGCCGACGGGCGGCGCGAACTGCGGGATGTCCGCAGAGGAGTTCACGGCGGCGGTGATCCCAGCCATCGGCGAGGAGGGCGTGCGAGGCACGCCGGGAGCTGAGGCAGGAGCGGTCACCCTCTCTACGGAGCAGCTGAAGCAGATGGTGGCAGGAGTCGTGCGTTAGACCATGGCCGAGGCCGCAGCCAGCAGCAGCAGCGGCGGCGGCGGCATCGACTCCAAGACCACCAAGGACGAGCCCAAGCCAGCAGACCCCTGGCAGGCAGCAGCTGAAGCGGCCAGGACCGCGGAAGCCAAGCCAGGGGCCGACTGGAGTACAGACAAGTGGAGTGAGTGGCGCCAGGACACCTGGGATGAGAAGGACCAGTCGTGGAAGAAGATCGACGACTGGGGATGGAGTGACTGGCGCCGTAGAGGTGGTGGTGGCTGGTCTGAGCACACGAAAGGCGACTACTCAGACCCCCCAGCCTGGCCAGGCTCGACACACTACAGGCAGTGGCGTAAGGCAATGAGCAGATGGAATAAGAATACTGACGTGCCGGTATGGCGCAGGTCGGAGAAGTTCCTACGATTGTTCGACTATTCTATGCAGGTGCAGTTCGACGATCTCCCCGAATCAACGTTGTCGGGTAACGGCTGGCTCGAGGCAGTGCTGAAGCGCATGGACCTCATGATCGGAGAACGTGAAGGAGACGATCTTAGACGAGCCGGCCGTCATGCGTTGTTCGAGGCTACTCGGGAGCACAAAGAGAGCCTGATTCAGTACGTGGCCAGACGGGAGCGTCAGTTTCTAAAAGCAGAGGCGCACGACCTTGTGCTGCCTGCTCGAGTCAAGGGGTTTCTTCTAGAAGAAGGCGCGGGTCTGTCGGCCCAGGGACTCCAGAACCTCAAGACCATGACTCATGGCAAGGTGGAGTTCGACAGCGTTAGCTGGACCCTGCGGCAGATGGACGCGTCGGGCTCTGAGCGGCTACTACCCAGCAGCAGTAGGGGAGCGATGGCGGCCGCCGACGACAAAGGTCTCGGCGACCAACTAGGCAGCTCCCCCCCTCCTCCTCTTCCCTCGTACCCGGTGGGTCGTGACGGTGGTGTCTCGGACAGCGAGCTCTATCCAGACGATGACCAGGACGGGGAGTTCGACGACGACGAAGAGGACGAGGGAGACGAGGAGGCCATCCTCACCGAGCTGGAGGACCTGGATCTGGACGAGTCACAAGTCGAGGAGGCCCTCGCCATGCTGGAGATGAGCCGATCCAACAAGAGGACATGGAAGCAAAACAAAGACATCAAGAGAGCAGCCAGAAAGGATCGCGAGTACTACGGTGCCCGTCCGAGACAGCTCGGACGCGACAGACCTCCTCCACCTCAGGCCAGACATCCTGCTAATCGAGGTGAAGGTCGCGGCAAGGCCGGCGGCCGGGGAGGGCGACGGTCCAAGCTGACACCACAGCAGCTGATGAAGATAACGAGGTGCGGCATCTGCAAGGAAAAGGGCCACTGGCACAAGGAGTGCCCTAACAAAGACGACCTGAAGTTCGCCAAGAACCGCACCACGAACGCCTACGTGTTCACGGGATGCGTGCTGCCCATCACGATGGATATGCTGGCAGACTGGAGGAAGGCCGTCGTGGAGATGAAGAAGAGCGAGGTCTACCTGGTGGCGCGCGAGACTCAGGCTTTCGTCGATCCCGGCGCAGGCAGCGACCTGGTGGGACTGGCCTCGCTCAATCGAGAATCCAGAGCTCTCGCGGCAGTAGGCCTCAAGTATGAGATTATCCCCCGCCAGTTTCAGAGGCCTCGTGCAGCTCATGGCGTAGGAGGACCCGCCAAGGTGGTCACATCCATCTTGTTTCCGCTGTGTCTCGGCCGATCTCTAGGAGTGATCGAGACGACGGTGCTACTCGACGAGGTTCCGCACATTTTGTCAGTTAATCTTCTCGAGTTTCTCGGCTGTGTCATCGACCTGCCGCGCAATCGCATGGCCTCGGAGTTTCTGGGCTTGCAGGTCGACATGTTTCGGCTCGGGTCGGGACACCGCATGGTCGAGATTATAGAAGCCCTCGACATGCCTCTCGAGATTCCCGAGCCTGCCTTGCGCAAGTATCCTTTCTTGACGGCCGAGTCCTTCGTGATGGGCGAAGGCTCGCCTCCGGAGATGCTGGAATCCGGAGATCTTCGCGGGTACATCATATCCCCAGTCATCGTCGTCTTCTTGGGACTACTAGGCCTCTCGGGACTCCAAGAAGGACTCATCAGGGCGTTCCTCAGGGTCATGATCATCATGGGCGTTCTCGGGAAGCTAGGTGCGTACGCTCACGCGGGGATCAAAGAGTCACGGGCTCAGCACTCGCCTGATAAGTCAGTCCGGGCCTTAATATCCGGGGGGAAAGCTAAGGATACGATCCAGAACGACAACGACACTAAGGAGGTCTCGGAGCTTTCGAGCTGTCACCAGGGCCCGCGTTCAGA